TGCTTTAACGCTCGTGATTGAGAGATCTGAAGTCTGAAACCTGTTCACTGAAGAGATAAAACCAACCAAAATCCACGTGAGCCTTCCCACTGATGTCAGGGAGCCTGGACCAAGGCCAGGGGCGAGGGGACAACGGCAGCAGCTTTGAAAATGCTGCCCAAAAATATCTTGCCCTTTGTTCCAACAAGCACTGCTGAGACTTTAAGCCATGCCGTGGTCTCTCTGCCTGGGTGCTGAGGCTGTCACAGCAGCAGTGGGTTTGATAACAGTCCTAATTTGGCTTTTCCACCGGGAAATACACCCAGTCAATTTATATATATATATATATATATATAGTAATTCAGCATAAAAATCATCAGATGGAAACGTCTCACGGTCATTGAAAGAAAACTTCGCTGCTTTCCAAGTAATACACTTGATAATGTTTCACTTGAAAAAGAAAAAACTTGTAACTTTTTTTTAGAGCAATCTGAGAGAACTCACAGCTGAGGGGTCTCTCTGAGGATATTCAGACTCCACGGGTTTAGGGTCTGTGTTAGAAAAAATTATTATCAGCTCTGAACATTATAAAACTGACATGGTTTCCAGCAAAGGTTGTAAACAAATTATTAGGACTCTTTGTTCCGAGAAATACATTAAAAACAGTCAAAGTGAAAAAAAAAAAAATCATTTGGCCAGTGAGAAATCTGTCTAGACAAAGCTTCCATTATATGATTTAACAATCCCTGGCGAATGTTGCTTAAAGATAAAATTGGATTCCTGTCCAGAATATTAATACTTTTATTGCAGTTTACAGAAATATGTGTATTTTTCAGATAAAAGTACATATTCATATACAGACAGACGATGAACATTGAAAATGGACTGGAACACAGTTTGTTTTATCAGTATTTCTCCCTCTGTCAAACAAATAAATCATTGTTTTTCAGGTGGAGGCTTCTGATGAGGAGGAAGATTTTCTCATTTTCAGACAAGGGCTTCTGTATTTCCATCTCCACCGCTGTCAGAGCACGTTGGTGAGGAGCTGCTGTGGGTGACACAAACAACTTATGATTGCACAGCTCTCACAAACTTCCAGTTTCCAAACAGCTCCACAGCAATAGTTTGCAAGCTGAAGTTTGGGCCCAGCCAGAGCGAGCTCAGGAATACAGATCTGGGCTTTATTGTGTTTGACTCAGCTCAGTGCAGCGTCCTCAAGAAAATAAAGAAATAAATAATAAAAAAAAAGTGATGTTTTTCCAGCATGGCAGGAGAGAATTTGGAGATGTTTTTCTAAGTCAGGCAGAAGGAAAGCACTGAGTGTTAGATCAGCTCCTGTCTTTTTTTCCTAGGGGTAGCAATGCACCGTTTCATGTTTGGCAACTCCAAAACAGCTCCGTGCTCCAAGTGGAGAACTGAGCCTGAGCACCCACCTGAGCCTGGTGCAAAACACAGGCAGTGCCTGCCTTCACTTTTCCAGAATCCTGGATCTTACATGATGGGAGGAAAAATTCATGTTGTCTCACAGAATCACAGACTGGTTTGGGTTGGAAGGGACCTCAAAGCCCATCCAGTCCCACCCCCTGCCATGGGCAGGGACACCTTCCATCAGCCCAGGGTGCTCCAAACCCTGTCCAACCTGGCCTTGGACACTTCCAGGGATGGGGCAGCCACAGCTTCTCTGGGCAACCTGTGCCAGGGCCTGCCCACCCTCACAGGGGAGAATTTACAGAAGATCAGAGCAAGGGGTTGAGTTCTTGGCTGGTTTTTTTTGTCCCCAGGTGAATAAATAACACCTCATTTTGGAGAAGCTGCTTTGAGCTATTTTAATCATTTGTGAGCTACAAGGTTCAGTGGAACTGTTAGTTTTTTTTTCCAAATGGAACTGGACCTGTCATGTCATCCCAGCTGGAAGGTGTGGAGCTGCCATCCCATCATCTACCCTGAGAGGGGCTGAACTGCAGACTCCATCCAAGAGCAGGGGCAGAGCAAAAGCTTTTGTTCTATGGCACAGCTCAGACAGTCTTTGAAAAGGCTCTTCAGGAAACCAATTCTGCTCAGTAGGAAAGCCTGGCAGTAGAGTTGTCAAGAATTACATTTGGAAATCTCATTTTGCAGGCATTCCAGCAGGCAGGGAGAGATAATGGGGACCACTTGCCCCCAGCCCATGACTATCAGCGTGCTGTGCAATTCCCATGCAGGGTTTGCCAACTGCTTTAGATCAATCCTCTGTCAAAAGCAATGTCAGCTTCTCACACTACATGCAGCCTCCTGGGCATCCTCCCATCCCTTTTCTTAAGTCTTGTAAGGGCCCAAATGGATGTAAAATTTTGGTAGAAAGTCGATAGAATATTTTTATTTTTTTTTCCTTTAAAAAAATGAACGCTTTTTACATACGAGGACTGTTTCTGGGACTCCTGCCCTGTTCTTTGTCCCCCACAAAAATTGTTTTCCTCGTGGCTTCAAACACTCTGTATTTCAGTAACCAGTTTTTCAAACCCTCTCCCAGGTGCCAGGACATGGTGTTCTTCCACTGTCATTTCTCGTTGTCACCTCGCATGGTTCATCAAGGGAACATTGTCTGCAGGCCCGGGAAATGATAAAATCTAACCCTGCCCCAGCTAACGTGTCGCTTTTGGCCTCAGGAAAATCACATAATCAAGAGGTGCCAGAAGTGCTCTGATATCCTGAGTTTCTCAATTTCTGAATGCCTGTCACATTTTTGAAAAAGCTGGGCTTAGCCCAGCTGCTGTAAATGGAGATGGAGAAACCTTCCTGCCTCGCAAGGGAGAGTTAATATTTGTTCAGTGCTTTCAAAATGTTAAGTGCTACATAAGTGCTAAGCATTATTACCAGGAGTAATGTATGTTTTCATCTGGAGCTTGTACTCTTCTATCTAATCATTATCTGGCTTCTAATAAGCAACAACTTTATCAGAGTATAGTCCCAGAAAACATCTTGCTTGCTCTTCTTGGAAAATGTTCTTAATTTTTGTTAGGAGGCTTGAACATGTGTCAGGTTTTAAATCACAGATCTGTTGGGGTTGATGAAGTTAAACTTTATCAGCTTTCTGGGAATGATTCATCTCTAACTTGTTACATCCATCCAGTTTCTTTTGCTGGTTACCTTTGAATTTGCCAAACAGGATGTAAATTGAGTTCATAATCTCATTTTGAGAATAGATATGAAATATATGAAAACCAGACCAGTAAACACACAACAGAAAAAACCCACAACCATGTAAACCTTCATTTTTTACAACTATTGCAAAGAGGAACAGGTTGTCACAAATCAACAGTGAACTACAAGCTAATTTGTGGTTTAGATTAATTTGTACTACCCTCTCCCTTACCTGCTTTGGGCCTGACTGTAAAATTTGTCATGATATTCCTGAGCTCTTACTCAGGGGTGTGAATCCATTGCTCTTAACAAGGGTTAAAGCCCATCTTGTGTAAGGAACTGATGAAAAATTAACTATTTTGTGCTTTGCAGTTTATAATGGAACACCCAAGAGAGCGAGTGTCTCTTCCTCCTGTTAGTAAATGTTTCAGCTGGGAATGAAACAGTCCACACAGATTGGGTGAAATTTCGGGCTGCAGTGAGTGGGATAAACCTGCAATTGCCAACTGTATTTCAGCTGCCTCAGTCCTGCAGGAACAAACAACCTCCTCAGAAGGTGAGGGGGGTTATTACACTGCTCAGGACCCTGCAGAGATGGATCTGCTGAGCAAGGCGACCCTTCTGTCCCCAATTAACTCGTTGTTTGCCAGTGCCCAAGATACACATCAAAAAAACTGCTGCTCAAGGTGATGCCTGGGATGCTTTTGACAGAAGGGAATCTACTCTTCCTGTAAATGGTTATTTGTGCAGAGCACACAGTGATAGTGACTGCCCCTCCCCCAAAAAAATCTCACTGCACTTTTCCCTGGAGAATGTAAAGTCTTCCATTCTGCCAGGATCAGAAAACAGATTTTCCCCTTTTGTAGAAATGAAGCCACTTACATTTATTGTGGCACTGTAAAACTCTTTTTATTATAGAGCCCGAGATGAAATAGCAGGGTATAAACTGAGCTGTATCTATAATAATCACAATCCTTCCAAAAACACATCGCTTTGGAAACTCTTGTGGATTTGTAAAGAGCACCTAGAGATGCTCACACATTTGCATTTAAACATCCAACCCACTGAAGAAAACTTGTTTATTAAATCATTTTCAGTATAGCACAGTCTGAAGGAACATAACTTAGGAGGAATCACTTGCTTTATGTACAGCCAAGCCCCAGTTTTTAGGTTGAAGCATAAACAGTTTAATAAAAAGATATTACTTAATAAATTAGTATCTTTAGCTCCTTTCTGAACTGAGTATCTTTACCTTCTCTCTGAAGGAATCATTAATCATCCTTTAAATTCCTGACAGCCCCATAATCTCTGGATATAAAAATTCAAATGCAAGAAGGAAGTAACTGTGGATTGAGTCAGCAGGATGGAAGGAGAGATGCTCTCTTTAACCCATCTGAGAGATCCCAGACCAGTGCAGTCAATGCAATCTATTGTCACAGTAGCTAAATAAATCCAAATGCTGCCTTGGAACACTTCTGCTCGCACAGGAAGTCCTGCACCTGTTGGTTATCACAAATGTCATTGCCCTCCTGCAGGAAAAGCTTAAGACATATCCATAGGTGATCAAAATGCTTCTATAAAAGTGAAAGGAAGAGCAAAGGTTACTGAGCATCCCCAAAAACACATGGGCAAGGCCTGGAAGGGCACAAAACTTCCCTCTAACTGTTGTCAAACTTTGTCCAGGTTTATAAGTGCCACACCTTGGGTGACTGTAGCCAACAGTCATGTCAAAGGAAATGCAGTTTTGGCTTCTTAATTCTCCCTGAGAATGGTCCAAATTCATCTGTAAGACACCCCCAAAATCATACATATAGCAGGTATATGTAAACCCAAGGCTGAAGTCATTTTTGTTACACAAACTTATAAACTGAATTTTACTTCCATTCTGACTCAGAGCAGTATATTGTAAAAACAGAATATTTATTAACAGCATCTCTCCATCAGGTACAAAACCCTCTTGCTTTGTGAATACCCAGACCTGGAACACAGACAGTTTTCATCAGAGAAATGATCTAGAGAGCACAGAGGCCATTCACCCCAAATGGAAATTGTACAGCAAAACTAGATGATGAGCAGCTGCTTGGAAGCAATAACATCTTCAACACAATATATTTAATAGAAATAGAAAAGCCAAGCAGTTATTTATTAAATTTTTTATAAGTTCTCCACATCTCCTGGGAGGAATATTTCCAAGAAGAATTTGCATTGTGCGTGCACAACAACTACTTATATGTTTTGACTGAAAATGTTGTATTTACTTACAAGGCCTGATGATGAAAAATATTATTATTACAAAACCCTGCGCTATTTAACTGAGATGGAACAAACATTCCCCTTGTGTAATCATATGCAATAACTATAAAACTAATCTTGATCATATCTGTACATTTATAGAGTATCTTTTATTTATTGCAAATCTGTCTCAGGCAGGGTAACAGTTCTGTTTCCATTCATCCTTTTGAAAAGATACTGTGACAAGAATTTCAAATCTCAGCCATGGCCAAATACTGCACTTGGATTTCCTGGAATTAATGTTGTGAAAAGGAATGTGTCTGTGCTCCAAGAGAAGCGCCTCCAATGCAGCGGGATGCACTGAAAAAAATAAGGTGAGAATCCCAGGAGTTGACATAAGGATGTGATAAAACTTTCAGATTTTATGGAAAGAAGCATTTTTCAGTTTCCTCTTAATAAATGGAAACCATACATGCACAGTGTGAAGAAATATATTCTGCCTAAGCATGTAAAATATGTCAGCTTGAACATTTTACTGTTTATTGAAAAATGTTTTTCAGGATAGTTTATATTATGTTTGCAGGAGAAAAATAAAACTCTTTTATTTTCTCACTATTACAGTCCTATCGCATTACCATTTTTTTCCTAGCTGTAAAAAACCCCCAGCATTGGGATATTTATGCTTGGTGAATTAGGAGTATTTTTTACTGGCCATCAAAATTTTAGTGGCATTAGCTCTATTTGTAACAGGTTGTCATTAAAATGAAAATGTGGGAAGCAATAAAATGAATATGGACCCTCATCAGTATCAGCGAGGCTTTATGGTGGTCTTGGGACCAGTTGTGTTATATTTGTTACACATCATCATCAGACGACAGGACAAACCTCTTTTTTCCACTGACATCAAAACAAATTTTGCTGTTGTATGGATTGTATGGACTTAATATGTAACATATGTAAATAATTCTTTAGCTTTCATTTGATTGAATCTGGAGTTTCCCGCCTGAGGTAGGTCTCAGTACAGGTATAAATGTAAACTGAGACTAAGGAGTGCCAATCTGTCTGAGAATTAATTTCTCCCTTGGTTAACACCTGGGGAAAGGTTGGCAACAGCATTTTCTTCATGAATGGAAAATATGCTCCCTTAGCCTCCCTCAAAACGGACACAAATACCACAGTTTGACTTCCAGATTTGAACCTTGAGGCCCAGAAAGGATAAAATGTAGCAACAGCTCATTTATTAACTAATTCCAGTTATCTGCAATCTTCAATTAACATCAGCGTGCTGCTTTGTATCCCCTGCTCACACCCCCAAAGCCACCACAGTTCCAGGGCAGTGATTCCCGGTTATCAGTAATCTAAATGAAAAAGTCAATCAAGCTTCCCTGATTTACAGATTGTTACAGTAACACCCTTAAAAGCCTCTAAACCATCTAATGCCTGAGTAGCTTCTACACCTTTTGCTGCACAAAAAAATAATGCACCTGTTGTATAAAACTGTGAAACATTAAGTGTTGGAAATAAATATTATTGCTGCACCGCTTTTCCATTCCACTTTGTCTTGTGTGGAAAAGCAAAGGTGACTACAGGCACAGAGCAAGCACATCCATTATTTCAGCTAATTCACTTTGATTTCCTTTACAAAAATAAACCTGTGAAATCAAAGAGCTCACTTGTAAGTAGTCTTTGGTAAGGCTCTAATCATTTCTCCATTAGTGCAGGATAAAGATGATGGGCCACAACTTCGAAAACCTTTTGATCTCCTCACTCCCAGACAGGATGAATGAAGGTGCAGGAGTTTGCTCTGTCTCAGTGGCCTTTGGATTCTGCAGGAGAGGGGCAATGAAATTTAGATTAGTTTGAACATGTAGAGGATGATCTGGGAAACTAATCCCAAAGATCAGCAAAGGAAAGGCACATGAAAAGAGGAGTAGACTCCTTCAGGTGTTTGAGGGAGCACTTGATCTCAAAACCTGACAGGAAAGAGAGCTGTTGCAGAAACTGGCCCTCTGCCATCCTAACAAAAGAACATAAGATGAGAGATAAAAGATTCAACCCTGGACCAATTTTAATCCTTAAATTTGTGGTATGGGGCTTCCCCTTTGGCTGAGGGCTAATCCTCCAAATAACAGCCAGCCAGACATTTCACCTCTCCTTATTTCCCTTAAGTAGTACCCTTCTGCTTTTGTTGATTTTAGCAGTTTATTTTCTATTTCCTAAAGGCTTTTTAAAAAATTTTGGTTTTAAATCATGGTCCTGGATCTCTCCAAGATTTACAGGGGTTTTGTATGAGATTTTGGATTTAGGTCTAGAAATCATAAAGTTTGTAATTTTTACAGCCCAGGAAGGATTTGCTCCAAAAGGGTTGCTCAACATCCAATGATTTGGGTTAGAAAGGACCTTCAAGACCATCTCGTTCCACCCCCTGCCATGGGCAGGGACACCTTCCACTAGCCCAGGTTGCTCCAAGCTCCTGTCCAACCTGGCCTTGGACACTTCCAGGGATGCAGGGGCAGCCACAGCTTCTCTGGGCAACCTGTGCCAGGGCCTCACCACCCTCACAGCCAACAATTCCTTCCCAATATCCCATCTAATCCTGCCCTCTGGCAGTGGGAAGCCATTCCCCCTTGTCCTGTCCCTCCATCCCTTGTCCAAAGTCCCTCTCCAGCTCTCCTGGAGCCCCTTTAGGCACTGGAAGGGGCTCTTGGGTCTCTCTGGAGCCTTCTCTTCTCCAGGTGAACACCCCAGCTCTCCCAGCCAGAGCATCTTGGAGCATCTCCGTGGCCTCCTCTGGACCCGCTCCAGCATCTCCACATCCTTCTTGTGGGCCCCCAGAACTGAAGGCAGTTCCACAGGTGTGGTCTCACCTGAGAGATGAGCAGAATTCCCCCCTCCCCTGCTGCCCAGGCTGTGGGATCAGCCCAGGACACGGGAGAGTTTCTGGGCTGGATCGTGTCCAGCCTCTCAGCCACCGGCTCCCCCAAGCCCTTCTCCCAGGGCCGCTCCATCAGTTCATCCCCAGCTGGGATCGACACAGGGCGTTGTCCCGACCCAGGTGGCGCAGCACCAGCACCTGGAACTTGTTAAACCTCACGACGTTCTTGACAGCCCCACTTCTCGAACCTGTCCAGGTCCCAAAGGCAGAGCCTGCTACAAGTGCTGAACATTCGCACAAAGCCCGTTTTCTCGCCGCACCGCCGGGCAGGAACCCGTTTTGTGCAGGCACAGAAACTTCCCGTCGGAGCAGCACCAGGTGCACCTGGAACGCAATCAGGGAGGCGCCTCCCCGTCCCGCTGCCCTTTGTGCGGGGGCCGGGCGGGTTTTGCCGTCGGTGGGAGCCGCGGGGCCGGTTCCGGAGCGTCCCCCCGGGGAGCGCTCCCGCATCCCCGGGGCGCGGGCGGGATGCGGAGGGCGGGCGGCCCGGAGGGAAGGGGCGGCCGGCCGGGCCCCGGCTCCGCCCGCACCACATGATCCGAGAAACTTTTCCCGTCCCGCGGTTGGAAAATGGCGGCGTAGGGAGCGGGGGCTCTCGCATCCCGGCGCCGGCGGCTCCCGGCGCCATGACCCGCTGGGTGCCCACCAAAAGGGAGGAGAAGTACGGCGTAGGTGAGGACACACCGCCCCCAGCCCGCCTGCTGCCCCCGCGGGGGGACCCCCGGCCCGGGCCTCCCCCATCCCATCCCATCTCATCCCCGTCCCTGCCCGGCTCCCCCGCTCCGCTCGCCTGGAAGGGGCAGGGATGGATCCTCCCCTCCGGGGCCGGGATGGAGCGCGGTGACCCCCGCGTTCCCGGTGTTCCCGGGACCCTCCGGAGGGCTCCGTGCGGACCCCCCGCCTGCCGGGACTCGCTCCCAGGAACTTTAGGAGTTGCCTGGGAGCGAGCAGCTCTCTAAGCTGGAAAAGTTGCCTTTTCCCTTCGCTCCGCTGTTGCCGCCTTCTTCCCGAGCGCTGCTCGCGGCAGAAAAGGCTTTTGAGTTTTGTTTCCACGTCTGTTTCTTTCCCCACCTCGCTGGTGGGAGCAGGGCAGGATTGCGCTTCCCAGGCGGGATCCTCGGTGTCCGCCGGGAGCCCACCCTGTGCCCTGTCCCTCCTTTGGAGGTTTTGAGGCTGCCGAGGACAGTCTGGCTCCGCGGGGAGTGTGATGCTCATACAGATGAGGGGGTTTCCCTGCGCGCTGCTCTCCGCGGATCCATTTCGTTCTCCGCTCCTTCCGTCCCTCCCAAACAAGAGGGGGATTGTTCCCAGCTGGTGGTTAAAACATCTCCGCTCTAATTAAACAGCACCAAAGCGTCCTGGGTTTGGGCAGGGCTGTGCCAAGAGGGCCCATCTTGAGTTTAAAGACGTTTGATTCTGAGCAAAAGACTTTTTTTTTTTTTTTTTTTTTTTTTTTTTTTTAAGGATTGTGGGGAAGAAAACTTAAGTGGCATGAATGAGCGTTTGTCTCGGGGAAGGAAATAATAAATCTGACTATTCAAATTGGAGAGACGAAATTCCATGTCCACCACAGTTCTTGGACTGGACTGATTGTGAAGAAAAACTTTTCATATAAACCTACGGATAAGACTTGTATAAGCAAAGAGAGCAGGAAAGAAAAGGAGTTTCTGGGTCTAAGGAGAGCCCAAGTGAATTAATAGGAATTAATTTTAAATTCTGTGTGTATGTCCCGAGAAAACAGGGCGCAGCTTTTAAATTATTAGCAAACCCCAGTTACGCTGTGTGAGACCCAGGAGTAATTTCAGTGCTGAGGATGCAGGACACCTGTGTGGAAGCAAAAGTGCTGCTGATGGCAGTCGCTCGTTAGGCTCCCAAATTGCCTCCTCGTGGTGTGGGATGGGTGTTTGGGAGAGGCTGGAATGATAAATTGTCACGTAGTAGAAGTTGTTACAAACCAGTGACACTCGAAAGCAAGTTCCTCTTCTGCAGGAACTCGTGTCTGCTGCTCTGGTGGTGGCCACTGCCCGGACCAGGCTTTCCAGGAATCCGTGTCTTGGGAGTGACTTTGAAAGGATGAGAGAGAAAGAAGTGTGGAATAAACTGAATATTTTAAAACATGCCTTAGGTAAATTTGGATCTCCAGTGTTGGAGATTGTGTAGTAAGAGAACGAGACTTAAATGTAGTTTAAGAATAAAAAAAAATCACGTTTCTCAGTTTGAAAAAGCACAAGACGATGTGCTCAGCCTATTTGGTGCTTAGTTGGTATGTTTTGTTTGTGTCCAGAGAAGTTTGTCATGGGTTTGTAATAGGTTTGTTTTTCTTCGATAGTTTGTTTTCTTTTTCCTGTAAATAAACTGGAAGGGACTATCATCCCTAAACTGGGGTATTTCTCTGCTGAATCACAGGGGTGTGAGAGTTGAAAGTAGCACTGCAAGGAGATAAAATTGGATTTAGAGTTAATTGAACACTGCAGTTCACTGGCCTGTGCTGTGGTGTTTGAGGAGGGATGGCTTCCTTTTGGTGTCGCTGGGCTTCCTCCTGAGGAGGATGAATATTCAGTTTGGGTTAGTGTTTGGTTATATATGTTTGTGTTCTTAAAAAAAGGGCACCTGTGTACACTGAGAGTCTTCTGATGTTTTCTTTTTTTTGCTGCTCGTGAAATTGGAGGCTGTGGAGAATTGATGCTACGGTTACAGAGTCCCAAACAGAATTGGAGAAGGCACTGTTGAGCCTAAAGCTCTAACATAAGAATGTTTTCCTTGCTATTTGCCCTGACCAATCCTGGAGGCTGATGTTGACTCAGTATTGTCTGATAGTGAAAGAGAAACATCTTCATGTTCCCAAAGAGGATTGTTGGTTGAACTGTTGGTGATATGTAATATATTTTGTGTGGATCTCATCAATACGTATAAATATCTCCAAGGGGTGTCAGAGGATGGTGTCAGACTCCCTGGTGGTGTCCAGTGATGGGATGAGGAGCAATGGCCACAAACTAAAACAAAAGAAGTCCCACCTCAACGTGAGGAAGAACTTCTTTCCATTGGGGGTGGTAGAGCGCTGGAACAGCTGCCCAGGGAGGCTGTGGAGTCTCCCTCTCTGGAGACATTCCAAACCCACCTGGATGTGCTCCTGTGTCACCTGCTCTGGGTGACCCTGCCTTGGCAGGGGGTTGGACTGGATGATCTACAGATGTCCCTTCCACCCCCAGCTGCTCTGGCATTCTGTGTGCATGCTTCCCTCAAGCAGAAGCAGCAGGAAGGAGTGTTTTGTCCTGATTGTTACTTATGTCACAACCGTGGGAGCTCAGAAATGTGGGCATATAGAGAGAGATGTTTATATTTAAAGAGATGTTTATACATGCGTGTTTATATATAAAGAGATGTTTATATATGAAATATACATGTTTATGTAATACATATATATATATATATATATACTTTCCCCCCCTCCTCTTGGCTGGTTATTTCTGTGCACCACTGAGGTTTTTTTTTTTAGCATATCCAGACCCGAAGATTTGCTGGCTGGAATAAATGAAGGCACCAATCTGTGCTGAGAAGGTGGTAGGACACAGGTGTGTTAAGGAAGGCTCCTCATGGCCAGCCCTTTGCCCTGGCACTGTGGGGTCTGTGGTGCTGCTGGATTTCCTGCACTCACACCAAGTGAATTTGGTGTTGTGCAGAGCCATTATCTCAGCAGGCACTTGTGAGCGTGACTCAGCTCCGCTTCCTGACGGAGTTCAGGGGAGGCTGCACGAGGTCTGGGTGTGGGTATAATGGGATAATATGGTTATTAGATTAACATGTGGGGAGCCCTGCGAAACAGGAAAGCCATCAGCTTAATTGGAGAAGCTTTTCCCTGCTCCTGATGCTGCGTGTCCTTCTCCTTCCTCTCAGTCCTGCCTCTCATCTCCCTTTCTGAGCCAGGGGGAGGCTTATGGTCGTGTTGAGGTGGCCCTGCGGGTGTATGGCTTCCTTGGAGGGGACATCAGAGGCTGTCAGAGTCCCAGGACTTCTCATGTCTGCTGTGTCCCCTCGGTGGCACTGGTGGCTCTGGAGTGTGGCTGCCCAGTCTCCCATTTCCTGCTTTTAGTGTGATGTGAAAATTGCAATTTTGGTGTTCTTCCTTAATGAGATGTAATGAGCTGCTTTGGCAACTCTGTGAGCCTGGAGAGAGCTCCTGAGATAGCATAAAGTGGTGGTAGTAGCTTCCAAATCCTCAGGACTTCTGCTGTTGTTTGACCCTTTGCCTTTGGGCTGAGAACTGCAGTGAGAGGTGGAACTGGTACCACTGTGGTGTTGCTACAAATACTGTATTTAAAATCCTTTTGTGTCCAAAGGTTTGTGCCTGTATGGGGGAATTAGACCACTATTATGATAGTTTAATCCCCTTTTTTTTGTCTTTTTAAAAAAATGAATGGTGAAGTAGGAAAATAGTGCCCTTGGATGGTCAGATGTAGAAGGAGAACTTCCCAGTCATGGGGCTTGTGAGCCCTGTTGAGATCCTGTTAATTTTCAGGATGGGGACTCTACTTTGCTACTCCAAATGAAAACATGGATAGTTGTGCCCTCGCTGTGATCAGGAAGTGTCTCTGCCTTGTAGGCAAAGTGCTCCTGTCCTTGGACAGCTTCATGAATTCTGTGTCCAGCTCTGTCCCTTCACTGCAGGAAAGATGTTGAGGGGCTGGAGCATGTCCAGGGAAGGGTCTGGAGCACCAGGAGCAGCTGAGGGAGCTGGGGCTCAGCCTGGAGAAAAGGAGGCTCAGGGGGGACCTTCTGGCTCTGCAACTCCCTGACAGGAGGGGGGAGCCGAGGGTGTCTTGGGCTCTGCTGCCAGGGAACAGGGACAGAATGAGAGGAAACGGCCTCAAGCTGGTCTAGGGGAGGGTCAGGTTGGACATGAGGAGAATTTCTGCATGGAAAGGGTGGTCAGGTGCTGGAAAGAGCTGCCCAGAGAGGTGGTGGAGTCCCCATCCCTGGAGATGTCCAAGGAGCACCTGGAATTTGGTAATGCTGGTGGAACCATAGGAACTCCTGCAGCCCAGCACTGCTGCTTTGCTTCCCCTGCTCCAGGGAGGACTGTGGTGCTGTGGGACAGATTTAAGGCTTTTGTGGAACCCTGGAGTTATGGCTTGTGGCTGTGGTGAGTGGTGGTGACACGTGGAGACTTTTTTTTTGTTTATTAAGATGACCTCGTGTCTGCAAATTCACGCCCTAAAGTAGGGAAGAAAAAATTTCAAGGAAATTGGAAAAGGTGCATCTTAGGAATGCATTTGTGTCATTTTAGTGCTGCTGTGTTGTGAGAGAGGTTTGGAGCTGCCTGGCATGACAGGACAGGTACCTTTGTGCTGTTAGTGGCAG